AGGTATAAATGTAATAACATCACAATGATTATTTATTTTTGAGGTTATGGAGTGGTTTGTGAATAAATTTGCTAAGTACAAATAAAGATAGTGTTTTGACTTTTAGTGATGTTCTAAATTAAAATTTCAATATTATAATCATGTTGTATGTTACTATATTTTTATGACATATGTTATTTTAAAGATTCCAAATCATAATACCACCGAAGTTCAAAAACACACTCCTCTCTGTGCCTTGCTGTCAAGTAATCCTAATTTTCATTTCACTGGAAAATGGTATTTTGAAGACTGTGGAAAAGAAGGCTATGGATTTGTTTGTGAAAAAATGCAGGGTAAGAAATAATTGGGGTTTTGTTTCTTTTGTTTTCTCGGCCCTTCCTTTCTTCCATATTTGCTTTACATAACTGTACAGGAAACAGTTCCACAGCTAACATTCTGAAGCACTTGTTCTTTGTCTTTACATATATTTACTCACTTAATCCCCACTACCCTTGGACTATGTCCTTTAGTTGTGTTCTAAGTAAGGACTACTGAGGCCACTTGACTGATAGCCAAGGCTGATATCCACTTTAGGTCTATTAGGTGGTTTTACTGCTTCATTCTAGGATTATATATCTGTATTAGTCCATTTTCTGGCACTATAATGAAACATTATAATGCAGTTGACAGGCTACCTTATAAAGAAAAGAACTTCATGTTGGCTCATGATTCTGGTCCAAAATCAACATCCAAATCTACATCTGGCGATAGACTTCATGCAGGCAGACTCCCAAGGTGGTACAGGACATCACATGGTGAAAGTTAGGGAAAGCAAGTGTATCCTCTCTCTTCCCCTACAGAGCCACCAGATCAGTCACGGAGGCTCCACCCAGATGACTTTGTGTAATCCTAGTCACCTCCCAAATGTCCACCCTCTAAACTTCATATTCAGATTATTTCCACCCACTTACTATTTTATAATGAGGGTTAAATTTCAAAAAATGGCCCTTTGGGGAGCACATTCAAGCTATATCTAAGCCACAGCAAAGTCTATTCAGGCAAATTTTTTAAGTGTTACCTAGAAAATTTTAAAAAAGAATCAGGAAGATGATTGACACATACTGCTTTCTCAAAACACTAAATATGGTCTCTGTGGCTAAATAGGACATGCAGTATGTTTCTGGAACCAAAGGGCAGAACCCCGTTGATTTCTGGTGCAAAATGCCAAAGCTGTATGTGGTCATTGGCTTGAGATTTATCTTGGCTCATAGCTATGTAGGTCCCAGCTCATGTTCAATAGCCAAAGCAGTACATCATGGCAGGAGCACATCCAGAGCAAAACCATTCATCTTGTGACCAGTAAATAAAAAGGAAGGAAGAAGAAGAGACTAAGGTCCTGCAATCCCTTTCAAGGGCATGCCCCCAGTGACATAAAAACCTCCCAGTAGGCCTCACTCTTAAAGAGTTCACTACCTCCCAGTAGAGCTACCCTGGGGCGAAGCCTTTAATACATGGACCTAGGAGGCATTTAAGATTCGAACTATAGCACCACACCGTTACAAATAGCCAATGGGATCAATAAGTAGTGTGAATGCACTGTGAGTGACCTTGAGAGATAAAAATAAAACCTACAGCTCTTGCTTTCACTGAGTACTGGATATCTGTACCACACCACTCTAGGAGGGCATGTTTGAGTCTGGAGCTGTGTGGAGCTCTGGACAGCCTAACACATAGGTGTTTACTTGGAGTATGAATTCCATTTCTTATTAAGTGTCACCCCATGCTCAGAAAAGCAGTTCCAGGAATGCTCCATTTCTGCTTCTCCTTATCATTTAAGCACAGTAGTCAGGAGCTGAAAAAAGATACTAAATCTGTAATAGCAAGAGTAATATAGTAGGGGAGGAACCTTGTAGGGAAAGAAAGAATATCAGTATACCATGTACTTCCGCTCTTATGATATACTTGGCACTATACCTTCGGTTTACAAGCATTATGCCATAAAAATCCTTGAGACAATGAAATAGGTCAAAGTCTCCCCATTTTACAGATAAAGAACTTGAGGCTTTAAAAAATAACACACTTAAGATCTGTCGGTTAAATATGAAGATTCTCTTCTGCTACTGTACTATCTCTTCTTGAAATTTACCCTCTGATCACTTTCTTTCTTTGGTATTTTGAGGACTAATAATATAGATGTTCTCTTGGGGAGAGTAGAGAGTAGTGTTGGATGAGAGCATTGGCCCTGAGGCACCACCCCTCAAGGGTTCCCACCTCACCTGACCTCTGTAAATAAACTTCAGTCAATTTACTTATCATCTATGAACCTTGATTTTAGCATCTATCAAATGAGGTAATAACTATTTCAAACTCTCTATGCGTATATAATGCCCAGTATAGTTCCTAACATATGTTGAACAGATGATAGTTTCCCAAGTTATTATTATGAAAAGTTTTATTCAACTTAACAAATTCTTATAAATTACAATGAATAACAAAGTTCTATTCCTTTGGTTGCTATGTAAATGTGTGCTCGCATTGAGCTTCACCTAAAAGTGCTTATTTGACTAAAAGATAAAAGAGATATGAACAAAAAGAAAAAGGCAAAGGCAAGATCCATCCCCACTAGTTTGGAAGTTCATTTTCAATAGATTCTTCTTTTTTCAGGGCAATGAGCAACAAAATCACATTACTGAAAATCACTTATGAGTTAGTGTAATTTGATGGAATTAATTAAGTAGGAAGTATAACTCAGTGAGGGAAACAGTCAAATTGGTATTTGGATCACATATACAAAGAACTGCAATTACTTTTCTTTTTAGTGGTACTGGATATTTTTAATAGTACTCAAGGTCTTCACACTAAGCTACATCCCCAGCCATTTATTTATTTATTTGTTTGTTAATTTATTTTTTTTTTTGAGCCAGTCTTATTAAGTTACTAAGTTCCCAAGCTGGGCTTAAACTTGCAATCCTTCTGCCCCAGCCTCCCAGCATGCTGGGGTTACAGGCATGTACCACCACACCCCGCTGAATTTCAGTTACTTTAATTTTTGTAATTTAATTTACTCATTTTGAAATAGCAACTTTCTTTTTTTTTGTATTAAATTCTTTTATTGGTACATTGTAGGTATACAACACAATTACATTTCTCATTGGGAACTGTACCTTT